GTTCAAGGCTAGCTACCATTCCACCAAAAAGTATAGAAGTATAGAGCATTGGTTGCAACTTCATGACGCCATAAAAATGGAGGATAAAGCCGCTTGCGGTTTCGCGAAACGTCCCGCCTATAAGCACTGGGTTTCTTCAGGCTCCTTACAACTCATCGAAGCCCGTCGGTTTACTCCAAATGACCGTGAGTTTGACCACAAACGAAGGCTGTCACGTAATGAGATCGGGAAAAGCTTGCGTAAGGATCGAGAACCTGGTGGTTGGGGCGTGCTAATGAGCTGGAAGCAGCAGCTGCATCTGGTAACTACCGGAAGCTCTTCCAACTCATCCGAGCCACTGGCAGCGAGAAGTCTGCTGTGAGCGAAACAATCTGCGAGGATGATGGGATGCCAATCACTAACATTCATCGACGTCTTGGACGATGGGCAGAATTCTTCGAAGGGCATTTCAAATGGCCTGCTGCTCCGGCAACATCGGTCAGACTGTCCTGCCCTCCATGGCCGATGACGACTGATCCATCAAATGAGGCGGAAGTCCGCAAGGAACTTCAACTCTTGCAGCACTACAAATCACTGGGCCCAAATGACTTACCTCTGGCTCTTTTTAAAGATGGTGGTGACTTCCTGGCTAAGGAACTGTCTGTGTTGTTCACGAAGGGTTCACGTCGTTCCTGTAACAACTATCGGGGGATAAGTCTACTTCCAACTGAGTCCAAGCTATTGGCTTCCGTCATAGTTCGTAGGTTGTTCAAAACCTGAGAAAGATTGACTCGCGAGGAGCAGGCTGGGTTTCGTTCTGGTCGAGGATGTATTGATCATATCTTCACCCTCCGTCAAATGTTAGAACACCATCACACTTATCACAGGCCAACAATCGTAATGTTCTTTGACATTAGAGCTGCTTTCGATTCGTTGGACAGGACTGTTCACTGGGATTGTCTATTGAAGAAGGGTGTGCCTGAGAAGTATATCAACATCTTAAGAGCCCTATATACAAACACCTCAGGCAGAGTGAGGGCATACAACCACCTCTCTCCACTGTTCCATTCGAGTAATGGGGTTAAGCAAAGTTGCCCAATCTCACCATTCCTCTTCAACTTTGCCATCGATGACATTCTGGAAACAGCTCTGATGGATGTAAGTAATGGCGGTGTAGATCTGTTGCCTGGAGAAAGACTTCTCGACCTTGAGTACGCGGATGATATTATCTTACTGTGCGATAATGCCCAAGCCATGCAATCCGCACTTAACCAGTTGGTAATCAATGTCCGTAGGTACGGTATATGCTTTGCACCTCCGAAGTGCAAAGTACTTCTACAAGACTGACAGGATTCTAATCCTGTACTCACCCTGGATGGTGAGCAGATAGAAGTAGTCGAGAAGTTCGTGTATCTAGGTAGCTGCATAAGTGCTGGTGGTGGCGTGAGTGATGAGATCAATGCAAGTACAGTGAAAGCCAGAGTGGCTTATGCCAATCTGGACCATCTTTGATGTTAGTCTGGCTGTAAAAGGTCGAATGTACAACGCGTCGGTGAGAGCAGTTCCCCTCCACACTTGTGAAACCTGGCCTCTCCGAGTTGAGGATGTTAGACGACTCTCTGTGTTTGGTCCTCGTTGTCTCCGAAGGATTGCTGACATCCAGTGACAACACCATATTAGTAATGCAGAGGTTCGGCATCGTGTGTTCTGGTGCAGAGACGATAATCCAATTGGTGTCACCATCTTGAAACACCGACGTCGGTGGCTTGGGCATGTCCTACGAATGTCGTCACAGAGAATTCCACGTCGTGGATTATTTGCCGACGTCGGGACTGGTTGGAAAAAGCGGAGAGGTGGTCAGTGTATAACATGGTGTCGTGGTATGAAAGAAAACTGTACAGGGCTGGCTTTTGTCGGTCCTTCACGACTCCCTAGTTGGAGTCCTCGAGATGGTGCAACACAAAGGCTCGAGACATCATCAGAAATAGCTCAGAATAGAAATCAATGGAGATCCTGCTGTAGATTTATTTCTTCATAAAGAAGAGAGTAACTTCTTGAGTTGGAAGAATTCTTTCTTGTATTTTTCCAACCTGTACTGCTTCTCCCATTATTGTTATTATTATTTAGTGGCCCTATATCTGACTCCAATTGGACTGTACGCTGATTGTCGTCGAAATACACATGTCGGCTATCCTCATATATTTCATCGACTTAAATCGCGCTGGTGAATAACGGAATTAAATAAGTCAAATACGAGAATGGAATATTGAATACTTGTATTTTGTACACTCACTGATGTGGACAGGAAATGAGAGGGATGGAGCTAATAGAAGAGAGCGAAGCGAAATGGCGGTTTGTGGAGAAGGCGTGTGAGCCAACTCCATTTGACCAAGCGTTAATCAATATTTAGAGCCAGATAAAAATAAGTTACAGACATGTGATGAATGTGATAAGAAGTGTACACACATATACGCTCATATAAAAGTCAGAGTTGATAAGTGAATAATTAGCAAAGTTCAAAGATGACTCAAAGAGAATGGATAAATTGGCCTATCCAGAAGCTAGAATAAGTTATATGGGCTTAATATAGCAACCGACACTACAATTTAACTTCCATCCACTAGTTTCTATTTACTGTTCTTTTTTATTATACTCACTTTCCTTTCTCTTCACAACTTCATTTTTATTGTGTGTTGTATTAATATTTGATGGCTTCTTGTACAAATGTTTGTGCTCAAATAATAATTGTAGCTCGCAATTTACATGGAACATGAAATCATACTTTCCATAAATCTATGATTAAGAGTTAAGTATAAAATAATGATTATGCTAGCGAATATAACTACTCAAGTGACCTGGTAAATATATTTCTTGATGCTTAGAGTGACAGGTGCTATATTCAAACCTCATCATAAAAACTAATATAATAGGACCCGCTACATATATCTGACAGAATGATGTACTGGTTTAGGCAGTTAACAAGTGTCTCTAACTTCTCAAAGCCTAGATGATGATTAAATTATGTTTATTAAGTTACCAGTTACATAAATAATGTTATTAACGTAAAGAAAAATAACAGTACATGAAACGGTTTTGGCTTGATTGTGATTAAACAAAGGTTTCATATGTTTGTCATATTATGCACTAATTTCTTTTCTGTAGTTTTCAGCAAATGGATGTAATAATTTCGACACTAAATGCAAAAAGCAGCATAAGTGCTCGAATACCGACAGTTTTCTTTTATAAGTTATTCTTGACTATCGTTTCACAACTAAACATGATTTAGGGCACACTATTATGTATCTTTTAATAACAATATTTCGTTACAACAGTCATGGAAACAGAGCCCCAAACGAAAATGAAATTCAGAACACTTGGCAGTGAAGAGATTTTAACCAAGGAACAAACTGTTGATTTTAGTAGTCTTAACTGTTATTGTATACAGTTATACACGGACTTTAGAAATATGGTACATTATCTTTCAGAATTGAGTTTAAATATTAGCCATGAAATTAATATAAGTAGTGCTTGATTACTTATACTTCGATCAAAAATGTAAACCCTTACTTTGTAATAGGGTTTTATAGGCAAACAATTTCGAAAACAAGAATAATTAAGTGAGGAAAAGTGTTTTCAATGACTATTGAAATTAATTTCTTTACTAAACTGTCTTTGTGCCCCAAATGCCCTGGTACGGCTGAGAGTGGGGAGAGTCCACTCTTCCTTTCGAAATGCTCTCACATGGCCACGCGTATATAGCCTCTGCCAGGGAAGTCCTACTCACTGCCTTCTCGTGGCGGGGGTGTTGTTTACGAAAATGAGAAGGACGAAAGGCGAATGTCCGGCGCTTTAACCGGGTTGGTAGACATGGAGAGTCCGCCCAGGGGAGTTGGAAAACCCTGATTTCAAACCAATGGTGCACATGGGCTCCAGTACCCTGAGGGAACAAATGGCGCTCTCCGATGACATTCTTAATAAATTTGAGGAAAATATTTCAAAAGAATTGGATCCTGATATCATATCATATATTATTTATTATCATAATGCATTTGCTTCCTGTGGGAAACTTAATCAGTGCGAAGCACGAGTACTAAATGAACTCGATCTTGATTATAATTCTGATGATTTCATATTAACTATTGCTTCTTCTTATCCTGAAGTCACTTCTAATGAATACCCCAGTCAGTGTGAGAAATATGTTTTAAATGAAGTCACACCATTCATAACTTAGGGATATGAAGATCCAACATTATTTCGTGGGGGAGGATAGTGTTGGAATATCTATGGTTCAAATTCTAGATATCAGTGGTTTCAATACAAAACCGACATGATGATTGTATACAATTCCAGGACCCAGCTGAATCCATTCCAATTTCGGCTGTTAATTTGAATATTAATGAGCATATTCTAGATCATACAGAGTCTACATCCAATACACGGTCAGACAGACACGATTAATCTAAGGAGAAGAGATACAAATGATTGCAGAAATTAGGATTCTCATTTGAGCTGTGGGGGATGTGGTGTTTGTATGAACTAATGATTCCTTTGTACTTGTTGAATGCTTGATTTCGAATTCCAAATACAGTACATTCGTTCGTGCTTATCTACTACATCTTGATCTAATTGCGTTATTTCTGGGATTCATAGTTTGTACTATAGTTCAAATACTCCTAATTATCATAGTTAGTCAAATAATAATTGATTTAAAAAAAATCTGACACAGCAATCAGTTTCACATGTCTTTTTCACATGATGCTCAAATAGAAAGTGACTATTAGTTAAGAATGATACGATAATAATTAAAATACAAAATCCACTGTGCAGAATTATGATGTCAATTACTATAATGATTAATTAAACAAAAGGAACAAGAACATCAACTTGGTTAATTCACTCATAAAACAATTTGTGTAAATTCCATCACTGTATTAAAAACAAAAAGGCAATAGCGCTATTATTACTATTACAAGTGAAAACTTGTTGAAATCTTGATAAGAAAGTAGAAATATAGTACCTACTTTTTTGAGAAATAGACATTAATTCTTTACTCATATATTTCGCTTTACGAATAACATCAGGAACACTACGACCAAGAGATTCTGCGATACGTTGCCATCTCCCAGGAACACCTCCAGGATATCGAATTACTGCACGAACTAAATTGTCTCTATCCACTTCTGACCACTGAAAAATAAAGCAGAAGCATATTTATGGTAAACTAACCTTTAGTGATAAATATAATATTGAAAACCATTGTTCTGTATCTTAAATTAAAATTATCTAAACATTCGACAAAGAAAATATACAAATAATGGTAGAATAGTAAGCAGAGAGTAATCAGACATAAAAAATCCTTATATCACAATGAATTCACAATCATTGTTAAAGTTACTCGAGTGAACGATTTAATCAAATATAGAGAAATTAAACTGGTTAAATGTAACCCTTGGTTGGAATTTTTGAGAATAGTTAGTTCCACAGAAAGACATTCTAAATACAATGGCTGGACATTAATTTACAGAAGAAAATGTTTTGCATAATCCATAACCTACCGACATCGAGTATTATCAATGATGATAGACGGTCTTATGGTCATCGAGTTTATTATTTCAGAAAACAATTCTCCAACCAAACGATATGCTTCAATGTTCAGTTAGATCGCCTATTAAAATTCTTGAGAAAATTGCTCACCGTATTCAGTTAACTTCTATTAAGGTGGAGCAATTAGATTGCTAATCAACTATCTTCTGTTGGGCACCATTCACAAGTATCCACAAAAGTATATATTTAATTAAGTTGAACCAACAAGTGAGTTATGCTGAAGTCAAAATTACAGATGAAATGAAGTTCACAGAAACATTAAAAGTAGGTTAGGTGAGATAATTATGCACGTACATAACTACACTCTCGCCATGACACGTGGTGCCAGTTAGAATTGTAGTAAGATAGTAGAAGCGTCATGGAGTTCAAATTAAGATAGCATGAATCCGTTATGTGTATAACTTTAGCTTTGAAGTATGTTAAAAAGTATAAGATTTTCGTCTGATGTTTATGAGAAATCAGTGGTTGAATACTTCAGGTGATATAGTTTATAATCACGAGTTGAATCCACTGGCTGATGATGCTAGTGAAAAATATATCTCTATTGACTTCGCACATAACCTGTGGACTTTACAAGTTTGGGATCACGGTATATTAAAAGTCAAATTACAGATGACTTCCGGATACGCATATTTCAGGCATTATATGAACAGACAAACCGAGAGTGAATAAGCATACGCGGTGTGGAGGAGCAGTTACTAGCCAACTCGCAAATATGAGACATATTGTGTAACGAAAATAGACAACGTAATAAGTTAGGAGAGAGATACTCACAGTCGTACAAGGTCACAGAATACTTGGCCAGATAGGAATGGCACAGCTAATGGGTTACGTGGGGTACGGTATGAAGTGCCACAAACTTAATATGGATCAAATTAATGCCAATCTATTTCTAACGTCGAGATGTGCTAGGAGAATCATTATTCTAGTGATATTAATGCGACATGGTCCTATTGCATGTTTGCATTACTGTCGTCTTTATTTTCGCTTTGACTGTCACAAAATGTTGAAAATTAGTTAGGAAGACCACTTTTTGCCAAGTTGATTGTTTTTATTTACCAGTCCATAGTCCAATGTCTTTAGGAAGTTACAAGTCTATCCCAACAGAAAGAGATATGGTATGAAATCTGAAATATTCAGTTTGCTGCTTATATAGTGATTACCAGGTATCATTCGGTGCCCATTGGTAATATTTTCTATAACTTCTGATTATGTTCATTCTTTCTCATACATCTGTATATCATGGTGTTTATTACATGAAACTAAGTGATACTTATTATCTAGTCTTTTTGTAACCCACGCAGTCCACGGAATACTAATGAAGATATAAAAATCCGATATCCAAATTATTTACCACGAGGCTGGATTATATCGTTTTAGGGTACCAATCGGGTGCTATTTTACCCGTCATTTTAACAACCAAGTCTTGTTAATAGTGAGAAAATGTGACGGTGATAAAACCTTTTATCAGTCTTGCTTTAGTACATCAATCATTATACTGTCAACTATTTATACCCAACCACTCGTGGAATGTTATTGAAATGAGCTTACCCACTTGGGTAAAATAGAGATGCAACTGGAAATACGATTATCAATACAAGGACACTAAAAGTTGTGCGTTTAATACATCAGCATATAACGAAATCATTTCTTGAAAATCGAAACTAGTTTCGTTAGGATGAAGCCGTTGAATGTACGCTATGCAGCTGCAAAATCGAAAACTTGAAATTATTGCTAAATGTTATAAACGAAGTAAAGATAGACGTACTTCTCGATAAACAGGATCTTTTGCTTCACTTTTTGAATCTTCATCAGAACTCTCAGTCTCAATATTAGGAATGTCTGTAAGGACTGAATTCAAAGTTGATTGGCCAGCCTCCTTTACAACTTCTCTAAGGATTGTTTGTTCGTGTACTAAGCGACGTTTGCGTTCTTGTTTATCAGCCTTAAGTTTTTCTTTTTTTTCTTGAAGAACTAAAATGTAGATAGATAAGACATAAACGAAGTATATAACTAGCTCTAGATAGATAAACACAAAACTGGGATCTTTTTCGGTTTAAGTTGATACACATTAAAATAACAAAAGGGAGTCAGGAGAATTAATATATTGGTTTTCTTGAGAAACATTATGCCATAGAAGCAATGGTTCAGTGGTCAAGGTGTTCGACTTTCAGCCACAGTTCTGGTCTTGAACCACGTCCCACCTATTTCGGTTTAGGTAACCGGGTAGTATCACTAGCTTTCAAGTGTGGCTCATTCCCAAGGACTCGTGAACGAGTTTATTTAATTCCTTAGAAATGATAGAAACGATGGTTTAGAGGTCAAAATACTCAACTTTTAGAAATGAGTTTAGTGATAAATCGTGACGAAAAATTTGTCGTCACATTTACCTAACATAAATATTTTCTTCAGTGGGTTTTAGTAAGCTACTCAGTCCTACTGAACTATTTAAAACTAACAAGTTGGACACTGGAATTAACAACGAACGGTATTATTAAGCTGTACGGCAAACGACGCGTTCAACTGACGAAATATGTTAGTTCTATAAACTTCCAATTGGACACGAGATATGAAGGCACTAGTTAAGATACATTTATCTTCATATCTTGCTACTTTTGCTCAACATTTACCAAGATGACTAAGAATGATATTTAGAAACCACAATTTAATTTCGCTCACTGTATAGAATCTTAGATGGAATATCCAACTAATGTGCCACGTTAATGCAATTAAACTTCCCAGTAAATCATATGTTGAAGACCCATTTTTACAAAATTTACCCATAAGCAGATAAATAATTTGTAAGAGCCTACTTCGAACTTCTTCCCTGAGTTCACGACGTTCTTGTAATTTCTCAGAAATCTTTTCGTTAATAAATTCAGTGAAAACAGGAATAAATGTGATGATAGCATATATCCATCTGACAATAGCGAACGGAAGCAAATCAAACCATCCGGGAGCGGGAATCTTTTGAAGTTCGTCAGATATCTCTTGGTTTATTAGTTCCAACTTCCGATCACGAGCTTTGTGACGTTTTAAAGAAGTGCTAAGTTGATCTTCCTAAACAGTATGAATAGAAGTGAACTCTCATACCAAAGTAAGCCGCTTCTCAAAAACTGAGCCCCAAAGTGCAGCATAATGAATTATGGTAGCCATTCCAAAGAACAACCCAAACAGTTCGTAGTTAGACATTTTGCGGAGCTTCCTAAAGTAAAATACTGGGGTTCGCCAACTGGGCAAACCATTTATCAGCACTTCATCATATCTAAAAAGAATAAGGGAATGTTCTCCGATATACTTACTTGGCACGTAATTCCGAATTCTTAAGGACTTCGTAAATACCTACAAGCCTTCGGAACTTCTGTTCTGCAGTAGGATCATCTGGATTCTTGTCTGGATGAAGTTTAGAAGATAACTTTCGGTAAGCACGTTTTATTTCAGAAATATCAGCAGTCTGCGCGTATATTGTAATTAAATAAAACTCAACTTTACATGAGAAACGCCCAGAAAGTCATAAAAATTTTCCTTGACTTCTTCAACTAAATCAAACATTTGGAGTTCTCCAGAATCCCATGCGCTCACTTTTCCACACAATAAGGCGAGGAAGAAAATGTAGATTATCATCGTAGACACTCACGACCACTTATTACCGTCAATAAGTCGACTTTTCGTCGGTAGGTACTGAATTGGTAGATGCTATATGAGTTTGATAGTGACAGCTGACTCAATTGGCGATATATTCTGGTAAAAAAAACATGTACCAACAAACGGGTAAACATAGCGAATAGACGTATAAGAAAAGTGATCTATGTACAAGCTCAAATCCAACCCATTATTTGCAAATGAAAATAAGAATCAAATCGTTTAGACTTCAGCTGTGTCATATTCAGTCGTCAACAAGGTCTCACTTGGTTTCCAAGTGTGTGGTTATTACTGAGAGGGTGAAGGAAAAAAATATGTTTGGTGGTGATAACATACTCAACTAATTAAAGGAAACAAAGGACGATGGAGAATTAACTTGAATTGTTACTAGGATACCTACTTTGGTCTGGGCACCTGGGCAGTACCACAGCCCATACATAAACCAAGTGACTTGTGTGGTGCATATGTATTCGGTGTCCCTTTGTCAGTCAGTCAGTCAGCTACAACGTAGAACCAGGCACATATGTGCATCGGTCCAGGTTGCCATACCGCATCAGCACAACAAGTTGAACACCGGATTCCCAGCAGTGGTTAGGTCAAAGGTGGTAATATATTAGAGAAAGATTGCATATAGAGATATAGTACAAGAAGAAAGAATTGGTTCGTAGAAAGAAAGATATGAAGTGATTTTAATCTCTTAGTTTAAGGGAAGACAGGGAGTGTATACACCGACGCCATTGTGATCGATTCTGAGTCATGTCACCAAGAGTCTCCAACCATTGGTTACGAAAGTCACGCGGACCCCAACCAAGTAGTCTGCATCTACCAACATGGCTCAGACTAGAAGTTAGTGTCTTCAAGCACTGATGCCACGTTTTGGTTTGGCCGCCCCTAACTTTCTTCCAACCATCTCCTATATCGGATAGCATTGCACGTCGTGGTAGTCGGTGTTCAGGCATACGTAACACGTGGCCCAACCATCTCAGTCGATGAAGATTCATAACCTCATCAACTGATTTACCATCATTCCCTAATACCCTGCACCTAACCTCACTATTACTTACTCGGTGATCCCAGCAGATGCCACCAATATTTCTGAGGCATCTGTGGTCAAATACTAATAGCTTACGAGTGTCTTCTACTCTTAAGGGCCATGTTTCGCTACCGTAAAGTAAAACAGAACGGACTGCCGCGCAGTATACCCGTCCTTTTATTGATAGACGGATATCTCGCCTTCGCCGAAGGTGATGCAAGTTGGCAAAAGCCAATCGAGCTTTTCGAATCCGTGCTGAGATTTCGTCAGACACCAACTCATTAGAGCTGATCAGACTTCCAACATAAGTGAAGTTGTCAACGCGTTCGACTACTTCACTCCCTATCCTTAGTTCAGGTGTTAACGCAGACCAGTCCTGAAGCAACAACTTGCACTTAGATGGAGAGAAGCGCATTCCAAACATTCTGGCATTGTTGCTCAGTGCTACCAGAAGACTTTGCATTTTGTCAGCGTCTTCACCAAACAGGACTATGTCATCTGCGTATTCTAAATCGATAAGTGGACCTCCTGGATGGAGATCAATACCCGAGAATTCAGTCGACGAGAAAGTTATTTCCATCAGTAGATCTATGATGAAGTTAAACAAAAATGGGGAAAGTGGACAGCCTTGACGGACACCACTTGAGGTTGCAAAAGTAGATGACAGTTCGCCATAAGCTCTGACTCGACTAGTAGTGTTCGAGTAAAGAGCCTTCACAAGGTTTATGTACTTCTGTGGTACGCCTTTCAATGACAGACACTGCCACAGAATCTCGCGGTCTACCGAGTCAAATGCTGCTTTTAAGTCGAGAAAGACCACGATTGTCGGACGTCGATAAGTATGCCTGTGTTCTAGAATCTGACGAATGGTGAATATGTGGTCGACGCAGCCACGACCAGGTCTGAAGCCAGCTTGAGTCTCTCGTGTTTGCAGTTCACGAGTCTTAGTTAGACGTCTGATAATTATCGAGGCTAGTATTTTAGATATTATATTAGTTAAACTAATCCCTCTGTGGTTGTCACAGGATGATTTTGACCCTTTCTTATATATTGGGACGATAAGTGATTGTGACCAGTTAGATGGGATAACGTCTAACTCCCAGATCTTACTTACTTACTTACTTACACCTGTTACTCCTCGTGAAGGAGCATAGGTCGCTCACCAGCATTCTCCATCCAACCCTGTCCTGGGCAATCCTTTCCAGCTCCTTCCAGTTGTAATTCATCCTTTTCATATCTGCTTCTATTATCCGACGTAATGTGTTCTTTGGCCTTCCTCTTTTCCGCTTCCCTTCAGGATTCCAAGTTAGAGCTTGCCTCGTGATGCAGTTTGACGATTTGCGTAATGTATGTCCTATCCATTTCCATCGTCTTTTCCTAATTTCCTCTTCAGCTGGAAGTTGGTTTGTTCTCTCCCACAGAAGACTATTGCTGATGGTGTCCGGCCAATGGATGTTGAGTATCTTGCGTAGACAGCTATTTATAAATACTTGTACTTTCTTGATTGTGGTTGTTGTAGTTCTCCAAGTTTCAGCTCCATACAGTAGAATTGCCTTGACGTTCGTATTGAAGATTCTCACTTTGATATTGGTTGAAAGTTGTTTTGAGTTCCATATGTTCTTCAATTGTAGGAATGCGGCCCTTGCTTTGCCAATCCTCGCCTTTACGTCTGCCTCCGAACCTCCTTGTTCATCGATGATGCTTCCCAGGTATGTGAAGGATTCTACATCTTCCAGAGTTTCGCCATCAAGGGTGATTGGATTGCTGTTCTCCGCTTTGAATTTGAGGACCTTGGTTTTCCCTTTGTGTATACTGAGGCCTACTGATGCAGAGACTGCTGCTACACTGGCTGTTTTCATCTGCATCTGTTCGTGTGTACGTGATAGGAGGGCTAGGTCATCTGCGAAGTCCAGATCGTCTAATTGGTTCTGAGCTGTCCATTGTATTCCGTGTTTTCCTTCAGATGTTGAGGTCTTCATAATCCAGTCGACCACCAGAAGAAAGAGGAAGGGAGAGAGTAAACAGCCTTGTCTGACTCCGGTCCTTACTTGGAATGCATCCGTCAGCTGTCCTCCATGCACTACTTTGCACTGTAGTCCGTCGTATGAGTTCCGGATTATATTGACAATCTTCTCAGGAACTCCGTAGTGTCGAAGAAGTTTCCATAATGTCCTCCTATCTACACTGTCGAATGCCTTTTCATAATCAATGAAGTTGATGTATAGTGATGAGTTCCACTCAACTGATTGTTCGACGATGATCCGTAGTGTTGCAATTTGGTCTGTGCACGACCGATCCTTTCGGAATCCAGCTTGTTGATCTCGAAGTTGGGCATCTACTGCATCCTTCATCCGGTTCAGCAACACTCTGTTGAAGACTTTCCCTGGTATTGACAGTAGTGTAATGCCTCTGTAGTTTTCACATTTGCTCAGATCTCCTTTCTTTGAAATCTTGATGAGGTGTCCTTCTTTCCAGTCCATTGGCACTTGTTCCTCCTCCCAAATCTTTTTGAATAGAGGGTAAAGCATGCTTGTGGTTAGTGCGACGTCTGATTTCAGTGCTTCAGCTGGTATGTTGTCGGGTCCTGCTGCTTTCTCGTTCTTGATTTGTCTGACGGCCATTCTAATTTCTTCCGTCGTTGGTGGGTTGACATCTTTAGGAAGCTCTGTGTGTGCTGCTTCGATGTTCGGTGGATTCATTGGAGCCGGCCTATTCAGGAGTTCCTCGAAGTATTCTACCCATCTGTTTCGCTGTTGTTGAATTTCAGTGATTGGCTTGCCTTCTTTGTCTTTGACCGGCCTCTCTGGTTTACTGTATTTCCCTGATAGTTTCTTCGTTGTATCGTAGAGCTGTTTCATATTTCCTTCTCTAGCAGCTTTTTCTGCCGTCGTTGCTAATTCTTCCACGTATTTCTTCCTGTCGGCTCTAATGCTCCTCTTCACTTGCTTGTTTGCTTTTATGTATTCAGCTTGTGCTTGGACTTTCTCTGCTCGTGTTCGGCTGTTGTTAATTGCTGTCTTCTTGTTCTTCCTTTCTTTGATCTTATCCAGTGTTTCTATAGAGATCCATTCCTTATGATGGTGTTTCTTTAGGCCCAGAACCTCTTGACACGTTGAAGTCAATGTTTCTTTGATGCCTTTCCAGTCGTCCTCCATGGTAGTTTCTTCTTCCTTCAGTAGATCTCGTAAGGCTTGGAACCTGTTGTTGAGAGCTATCTTGAAATCATTGAGTTTGTCAGTATCTCGAAGGAAGGCTGTATTGAACCTTTGTAGTGCTGTTTGTCCACTTGTCCAGTTCTTTTTTAGCTTCAATTTTAAATTGGCTACAACTAGGTGGTGATCTGAAGCTACGTCAGCACCTCTCCTGGTTCTCACATCTTCCATTGTCCTTCGGAATTTTTTGTTGATGCAAATATGATCTATCTGGTTCTCTGTAGTGTGGTCCGGTGAGATCCATGTAGCCTTGTGTATACGCTTGTGTGGAAATATTGTGCCTCCTATGACTAATTTGTTGAATGCACACAAATTTGCAAATCTTTCTCCATTTTCGTTTCTTTCTCCCAGTCCATGTCGTCCCATAATATCTTCATATCCAGTGTTGTCTATTCCGACCTTGGCATTTAGATCTCCCATCAGAATGGTGAGGTCCTTTCTTGAGCATTTCTCTATGATTGACTGCAGCCACTCGTAGAATTGATCTTTAATGTCGTCGTTGCTATCATTGGTGGGTGCATAACATTGGATAATATTCATTAAGATCCCCTCCTTCTTTGTTTTGAATGATGCTTTGATGATTCTGGATCCGTGGGATTCCCATCCTACAAGTGCATTTCGTGCTACTTTGGACAGCATTAGAGCAACTCCCTGAGTGTGTGGAGCATTTTCCTCTTCGTGACCGGAGTATAGCAGCATCTCTCCCGTAGCTAGCCTTTTCTGTCCAGCTTGGGTCCAGTGGGTTTCGCTGATTCCCAGTACTGCCAAGTTGTATCTCCTCATTTCCGTTGCTATTTGGCTGGTCTTCCCGGTTTCCCACATTGTTCGAACGTTCCATGTACCTATAAAAATTT